AACCAATCAAGCTCTTGTGGGCATCTTTCTGTCTAACATGGACAATACTGACCTGGCGTAGGTAACACACGCAATTACAAGAAGGCAATGAGACATAACATAGATCCCGTAAGAAAATTCAATTACCCCATGAGGCATTCTGGCTCGTGTACTCTCTCGCTTCGGTGATCAGAATTGACCACCTAGATTATGTGATTTAACACCGTTGAACTTTTTATGGGGTTATTTGAACTCGGAAGTCTCACCAATACAACGGAAGACGAAATTCGACGCTGTCTCAACGACATTCAGCCACAGCCACAGTGCGTATGTGCACGAGGTGGTTTACCTGATGTGTTATTCCATACGTACCCTTTTCTGTGTACTTTATGATGTAACGGAGATATAAAAATGTGAAGCAAAGAAATTGTATTCTGTATTTAATTCAAATATTGCCAGAATTTTGGGACGCGCTTTGAAAATACAATGCACGTGCTACATACAGCCCATTACGTTTCGTCAGGAGTATCAACCGCAGGGTCACCCCACGTGTCATCACATTTGTGGTCAATATAGTGTGACATGGAGCTTAAATGACCGATTTACGAGATCCCCCGCCCTGTCGTAATTGGAAGGAAATGTCCACGATGCAGTAACGAATGGTTTTGTGACACACCGAACAGGATGTAGATTCAAGGTTTAAGACTCAATCTCTGGCCCAATGATCGGACCGAGCATGACCTCTCAAACTTATAAACATGACTTCTACTAGTTTACATTGAAGATATAGTAATTATCGTTTTTGTATCGTCCGAGAACGATAAAACACATCGATGAAGACCCCAGAAAATCTTTGCATTAGAGTGCCCAGGGAAATAAATATACGCGAAACTGTGTACTGCTTGGAGCATACCTTGTGTTCGGGACATATTTTACTGTGCAGATTTTATAGCCTCATTGGAGATGTGTAAGAAGAAATACAATATTAAATAAAATTATTCAGAGGTTATATATAACACATGAGCTTAGTTATCAATGGCTTCTGAAACGGAAGATTATGTAAGTGTATTATTAATTCTTCCTTTTTGATATCTACGATTATATCAGAAGCACTGTACTTAAAAGTCTTGCTGTTCCTCAGCTCAGCAGAGCAGAAATATGGGTTGATGGTAAACAAATTAGCAACCATCAAGGTGTCAATTTTCTGAAAATGTGTGCTTTCCGCTTTTACGAGTCCAACGTCCACGATTGGTTTTTCAATGAAATAAGAAAACGATAACTTTTTACCTTGATTAGGAGTTTTTTATAAAAACCTAAAGAAAACAACGTTAGTACACGAGTGACATACAGATGACGTTTCTTTGTTTACAATTTGTATGACGTCACATCACACACAATTTCATCTGCCACGCTACATTCCATTACTGGGTACGGTCTTACATTTTCAAGAGATTTACAAACGCACCCTTGCAGATTTTCGTGGCTGTAGTTCAGTCATCGAGATGTCATCTAGATAGGCACAGCTATAATCTGTATTTACTATACAAAACGCCGTCAGGGGTCGGAGTCAAGGATGACATTTGTATCATATTGACACAAGTTTGGCACAAGTTGCACACTCATACATCAGTAGCAATTAGGCCTTAATTCGGTACTTTTTTAGTATTTTCAGCGGATCGCTTACAGAATTATGTCAGCGCACCTCACTTAGTTGCACAAGATAATAATGGGAAATGATATATAAAAAAGAAGTATTTCCAGAAAAACAACTGTCTTTATTCCTTATTCTACACATTGCAGAAGCATTCACCATTTCTGATAAGTGGCATATTCACCATTTTCATGTGGCTTATGAAACGAGAATAAGTTGGAGATAATAAAGGATCTACCGACGGATCAGGCATGTCTAGCCTAGTCGAAAATTGATTCTGTTGTAAGAAGAAATTGTATAGACAAATTTTAGGGTAAATGAAAAAAATCCCACAATAGGGATAAAAAATACTTTGCACGGTACCTTCTTTATAAACCGTCAAAATTGCAAAATTTAATTTTTTTCGGTACATTGAAAAGAGATATGAAGCATATAGTCTAGGCGATCATGTGCTCAATTACGAGCCCCTTCCCACTTCAGTTGGCCCAACTATTGAAATCTTAGTTTTTTTCTTATCAAACACAAATAATAACAAATAATAAAAATGTAGCAGGGTGTTATAGGTTTTAAATTATTAACAATCAATGTATTGATAATATATAGTAGAAAACACCAACTTTATCACTCCGTAATTAAATTTGTAGCATAAAAATAACATGTTGCAATTACAGCATATTAACCTATTTTCATTTCAATGCAAAATAAGTCTATAACGCATAGGTGGCTGTGAAAAATAAAAGCCATGACAATTGTTTTTATTAATCACAGCTGTCAGAATACGTTTAAAATAGTTTTGGGTAGTTAAGGTTTTCAAAATGGGAAGAGGAAAGGTGAGAAAGTGAGAAAATTCGATTACTGATAGTTACATTTTTTAATTCTGGGAAATCAAACTCAGAAATTGCAACTTTGTTAGACTTATCGTGCTACAGTGTGAGAAATATTGTTAGAAGATATAACGTAACTGGTTCAGTTAATATTAAGCCACGATATGTGAAAAAAAGTAATATCACAAATGCCGACCGAAAAGCATTAAGAAGAATAATCGTGAAAAACAGGCGTGCCAATTATTTACAATTAAGTGCTCTGTGGAGTGATGCTGTTGGAAGGAGAATTTCGAGGTCCACAACTCATAGAGAGGCCCACAAACTGGGATTTAGCACTTGCAAGGTAAGTTTTCTTATAAAGAAAAGTGAAGTAAAAACCCTAAAGTTGCACAACTTGTTTATAGGCCAAAGAAAAGCCACTATTAACTCCACTGCCAAAGAAAAATCGGCTTAGATGGACTAAAGAACATAGACAATGTACACCTCAACAATGGTGTGCAATACAATGGAGTGATAAGGCCCGATTCGAAGTTTGTGTTGGTGACAGTCGCAGTAGAGTTATTCGCAAAAAAAATTAAGCATTCCATGTTGACTGTCTGAAGAGAAAAGTGAAATTTCCAGCATACATTATTGTCTGGGGCAGTATGTCATCAAAAGGAGTAGGAAAACTTCATTTTATTGATGGAAATGTGGATACAAACAAATATTTAGCAATTTTAGAAGAATCGCTGTTACCAGTGATGGAAGAATGTTTGACATCCGGCCAAGATTTTGTGTTTCAGCAAGATGGTGCAGCGTGCCATACCTCAAAAAAGGCTATAAAATGGATGGAAGAAAATAATGTATCACTTTTGAAATGGGTTTCAAGCAGTCCAGATCTGTCACCTATTGAAACTTTGTGGCACGACATGAAAAAGGTTCTACGACAACATCCTGCTCGTACAATCACCGAACTGAGACAAAAGCTTCAAGAAATGTGGGATTGTTTTACACCAAATATTTGCCAAAACTTGGTTAACACTATGCCCCAAAGAATTTCAGCCGTAATAAAAAATAAAGGTGATGTTACCCAATGGTAATCTTTCAATTGTTGCTTTGTTAACTTCGCGCATTTATTCGCACATTGTTTATTTGTTCAGATGTTCTATTAGTTATAGGTCTAAGTGATTTCAAATACGTATTTTTTACGACTAGAGTACATCTAAAATGTTTTTGAGAAAATAAATTATTTTAGAAGTTTATAGTTTCGTCAGGTTTAGCTTATAAAGGCATATTTTGGTACAAATCTTGAAGTGGGCCAACTGAAGTCGGAAGGGGCTCGTACTGCAGCGATTACGTCGCTAGAGAAATTACCAAAAAAGTGATAATTACAAACATGCAGAATTTTTTTGTTTTTCAATCTCAACAGCCACCAAAGGTTCAACTTTCGACTATTATTCCAAAATTCCCGTTGAAAATTAAGTTTGTTGCCGAAATTTTTTGTAGTAATAACTTAACATTTGCAACAAATTGGTAAGGTCATACTTGAAGGTTTTTTCATCTGCAACTTTTTTTTCTGTACACTTTTGTCAAAATGTTATGTTTCCTTGAACATATGTGTCTTTGACATTAAATAAAAAAGCTATTCATCAATATATTTTATATCTGTCGATGGAAAACATCATCATTTACATTCAAAAATATTTCGTTGTAAATCCGACTGTACATTTTTTTCTGTCCGTCTATGAGTTAGGGTACGCTCACAGTGGAGCCGACTATTTGCGATTATGCACGATCGCGATTACGGACGACTTTTCACACGACTTGGTCGTACGACCAGAGTGCACACATTGGAACATACTTATCGGACATACTCGGGAGATTTCTTGTACTTGGTGGTGTGTGTAGTTACTACTTTTAAAAATGAATCCATTCTTTTATCTGACTGAAAACAATCTGCTAGGGCTAGGCGTCAGAGGAGGATGGAATGGATAAACGAAATATATATGAAGAGAGAAGAATTTGGCGAGTTCCATCATCTAATGGATGATTTAAAGGAAAACCCCACAAAGTTTTTTGAATATTTCCGTATGAGTTTAAAAACTTTCAACTATATCTTGGAACATGTTAAGTCTGACCTGACTAAATACAACAATTTTCGCCGTGTGATATCCCCTGAAGAGCGTTTGACTGTGACACTGAGGTAAGAAGATAAACAGAATATTGAAATTATAACTTAATTAACTTTTTATTCTTCAACATAAACGTTTTTTTAAACAAATAAATTTTTGAACAAACGTCATTTAACAGAAAAAGAACACAAATAAACTTCCTTGTAACTGAACTAAACCTATTTCTAACGGATATAAAAATAAAGAACCTCTCTCAGATTTTTTTGGAGACATTTTGGAACAGATTAGCTTCTTTTTTCGATGTCTATTGGATCAAAACTTGTGAAAAAAGTCTGAAGCTGTGGCGGATTGTGCTGTGTGGGTAACTGACGAGTTCCTTCCAAAATTACGTAGCTTGTACTGGGTTGGGCGCTCCAACAATCACTTAGCCAGTCTTCACTCGATGACTGGTAGCCTGGACTGGGAGTTGGTAAATATGATGGAGTGGGTTGATTCTTCATGAGAACTTGCATCAAGTCCGCTCGTACGGACAACTGTTGAGAAGCGGGTATTTTTTTTAAGAAAAGGGTGCAAACTCATTAGGAAATGCATTTCGCTATCCTGCACAGGCCCCTTGAAATATTTCAATTTCTCTTGCTCAATTCTAAGAAACGCTTCATCATACTTAGCCGCTTCATTCTGTCGCCTATTTTTCTTCTTTGGTGGTGACTTGAACAGGCGTTTAGAGGATGATGATGATGATTGTGGTGATTGATGGATTTGTGGTAGCAGAGTTTGTGAAGTCGTTGGTGTCGTTGGCGGTGATTGTTCTGTAGATATATTATCATTGTCATCATGCTCGACATCCGCTTCATTAATGTCAGTTGCCTCAGATTCAGGTTCGGGGACACTACCTTCCAAGGTTCTTGGCGTCATTATATCTTTTAGAAAAAACATTAGTTTATAAAATGGCCATTTAGAGGTGTAGTCCTTAGCTGCGTCGCCAGATTTATGTGAAGTAGATTTTTTAAACTCCCTTCTGAAGATATCTCTTAAACCTCTCCATTTTTTTCTTTAAGTCGTCACCTGCAACACAATATATTTTTTTATTCGGTTCATGTCTTGACTATCTATAGTGTAAATGATGTTTTAATTTTATATGTGAGCCCCTTAAAAGCCAAATGGTGAAAGTCACACGAAACGAATTTGGATATATTCAATCTTTTATTGCATTTAATATAGAAAATTGTTAAATGTTAAAATTATTAATCTAAGAATAAAGCACATATTTCCTAACTATATAACATTTTTTTTTAATTTTATTCTGAAATTTCTATATTAAATGCAATAAAACATTGAATATATCCCAATTCGTTTCGTGTGACTTACACCATTTGGCATTTAAGGGGCTCATGTAAAATTGGGTGTGTCCCTCCAAGCTTTGCGCTGCATACCATCGATAAAGGCTGAAAATGCAGCCGAAACGTTTGGAAATAAATATGTTATAATTTCAAATACCTAACTTATTATTCAGCAATTATATGTGAACCAAACTTCAAGAAAAATTCGTAAAATATAATATATTTTTTTTAGATATCTGGCTACGGGCTCATCCTTTCGGAGTATTGGATTTTCTTTCCGAATGGCTAATAATACAGTTGCCGGTATTGTACACGAAACATGCAGGGCGATATGGGAAAGTCTTGGAGAAATCCACATGAAATTTCCATTGAATGAGGAAGCAATTCAAATTACAGATAACTTTTGGAAGCGGTGGAAGTTTCCAAATTGTATAGGATGCATTGATAGGAAACATATCCGTATCAAAGCCCCTGCAAACTCTGGCAGCATGTTCTACAATTATAAGCATTTTTTTTCAATCGTCCTACAAGGTATTGCTGGCCCAGACTATAGATTTATTGCAATAGAAGTTGGGGCTTATGGCAAAGAAAGCGATGGTGGGATATTTTCGAATTCACGTTTATCGAAGCGGTTAGAAAATGGTTCCCTCAATGCTACTTCTGAACGACAATTGCCGGGTACCAACGTATTTTTGTCTCACGCACTAATAGCAGATGAAGCATATCCTTTAAAAACGTACTTAAGGCGCCCCTATCCTGAAAGAAGCTTAGGACCTGAGGAAGAATACTATAATAGACGTTTGTCATTAGCTAGACAAGTCGTTGAATGTGCCTTTGGAATAATGACTAGCAAATGGAGACTACTAACTAAAAGAATAAAAGTTCACCTCCAAAAAGCTGACATTATTATCCAATGCATATGCCTTCTTCATAATATTGTTATTGACAGAGAGGGTATACCTTTGAACATTGAACCCACACCGAATGGCTTCCAACAAAACGCAGCCATTCGAGCACGTAACAGAGGTGAAAACCATGCTGTCAGAAGAGCATATGCTATTCGAGAACAATTTAAGTCTTTTTTTCAATAATAATCGTATATAATTTTTTCTAGCATTAAGAAGAAAAATATTCTGTACTTAAAAAAATTAATGTTTGTTTACAAAATACATACCTGTACACTTCATTTCTGATGCTATTTCTTTCCAAGCCTTTCTTTGCAAATCTCTCGAATGGTAATTTTCACTATTTAAATTCCACAAACACTCTTGTTCGTGAACCAACATTATTAGTCTTTCTGTATCCATTTTTTCCTATACAGAAAATTAATAAGCACGCACGACTATACCACAAAATCCAAACCCGTTTGGATCGAGTCACTTGTCGGTCCTATACGTGCGTAGTCGTACGAGCAAATCGTCTGCAGTGTGAGAACAGATATGCATTTACGTAAGTTGGGAACCTTCGTGTGTAATCGGACGATTACACACGACTGCAAGTCGCACATAGTCGGCTCCAGTATGAGCGTACCCTAAATCGACAATGGACTAAACCTAAACATTCTCAGAAATTCTCATTTTAAAAGCACCAAAGTCTTCTTATTCCTAATTATTTCTGTCAAGCGTTCGCAATGAGCTACAACCGTTTACTTTTACAAAATACATAGTTATTTCAATAGCAGCTTAACGAGAGTATCCTAATTAATGTATATACTTACAACATTAATTGCCCCGCCTTTCGAAGCTGTATTCGTAGTGATAATGCTCTCCAGTTTTAGGAAACCGGGGCACTAAAGTACCGGCACCGTCCTAACGAACTCATTTGTATTCAAGATTACGCGTTTTCGCTAAAGCGTGGCACCCTCGAGTGGGCTGAACGCTTTTAATTAAACAAGTAAAATTATAGAAACCACTGTTATATAACTCGGACTTTCAAAGTCGCGGGATTATGTACAGAAATCGGTATTTCACGCACTTTCATACAAAAATTGTATGAAAAAGAGTATTGCTATCTTTTCACGGTATGGAAAAGTATAACCAAAAGTTAATTCTTATGTCAGTAGCAATTAGTTGAATGCAGTAGACGATTTCTGTTTTCACTATTTCGCGTTCTTATTCGTTTTATCTGTATCTGTACGCGGATGTTTGTACAGGGCATGCCGCAATAAATGCGTCATTAAAGCAATCATGAAGATCTCATAATATTTATCCAAATATGATGTCTTGGTAAAATACTGCTTGTTAATGAGCTACATCTCTCAAGATTTGATTTGGAATTCACTATCTCACTATATCAAGCTGTTTTTTCGAGATCCAGACATGACAATTAGGAGTCAGAGATTTTTGAGTATGAGAAAGAAACAAATTGATCATATAATCTTGTCTAGCTACGTCCTGAACTGTAAATGACCGTTCGGCAGCGGTACTATGTAAAAAACCTAAATAACGTAAAAAAACAAAATGTCATCTTGCAGTCTAGTTTTTAGTGTGCAAATAGTTCATTCCACGTTTGCTCGCTATGATCGCTGTGCGTCCATCTATAAAGGCATGACTCAACGACACGACATGCATTGCTGGTTGCAGAAAGCCGAGCAGTTTGTAGTGTTTATCTCTGAGATGTGAAAGAAAGAAAGTTGGTCAAGTAGCAAGATCGCATCTGGATGAGTATGTGTATTGGTCTGCATATGTATAAAATCTGTGATATTTGCTATGTGAGAAAACTATTACTGAATATGCTGACAATGAAGTATATCTATTAGCTGTGCCCGACGGGTTATTTATATGTTGACCTTTCTGGAGAGAGGTTGGCCCGAGTAAAGATTACATGGCCACCCAAGACAACTGTTGAAATATATTCTACTAGGCTCTAGAAGACTATCCGTAGCAAATTTTTTCCCGGAATCGTTGCACAACACTGAAAAATGCAAATTAAAATTATGTTATCTTTACTCGTAATAACTTTTCATAAATATTCCTGTCTGTAGCATATTTTCTCAACTGATAATAATATACAGAATATACTCCACCAACCAAGGATTTTGAGAATAAGAAAAAGAAGATGCGCAACTGATTTCCCGCTTTGAATACATCTCGAGTAAGTGTATTTGAGACAACAAACCTATGGAATTATCATCAACACAGATTATTAGCATACAAATCCTCACTATGCGCCTAGGCGCTGCCGTTTCCTTCCAGCTATATATACAACACAAAAGAATACGACTTACACCTAGACCTCCAATAACGCCATCTCTGAAGCAGACGTTACATCATATCAGAGCCAAAAAATGGTAGCTGAATCATCATGACGTTTAGGGAACACGCACAGCTACAAAACGAGTTTACAATAAGTGTACAACTGGTAGTGCTAAGTTGACATCTTGAACAAAAAAACTGCGTTATGTCACAAAAAACCTACAAAATGTAAAAAAACCGACAAAATTTTTTGAAGATACGTAATCCCTGTGCGGGACTGTCAGAAACCCGTTGTTGAAAATAACCGTCGATACATCAGGAAAATCTTCTTGTCAGTATCGTCTTACTACCGGTCCAACTTTCAGGTCAACTGTATATCCCAAAAACAGATCAGGGTATAGATAAATAACGATTTCTAAAATTTAGCTTCCACAATAAGTATATTATTAACGAACGATATTTTACTAAGGGATATATGGGTTAATATAATTTTCACCAGTTTATCTAGAATTATCTTTTGGCACGATCATTACAAGGGTAATCGCAAAGATAGATAATATTTTTGGATTCTAATATTTTTAATAGCTCCTGAGCACAGGGTTTATACTATGTATCTCCTTATGGAGTTTATTAATGTAAAATGTCTATGCCAATAAATAATAAAATAAAATATCAACATCCATGTTTATCTGGCCGCTAATGAAACCACAAATGCTTGCAATACTGTTTACTGACGATTGTTTGGCTCTTTTCAAGTAGACTAGCCAATTGTACTTGAAACCGTCCACCGTGGTAGCCGAAACGTAGTGAGTAAACAGTATTTTAAGCATATACGGTTTCGTTTAGCGGTCAGAAAAAGATGTAGAATTATTAGCAAAAAACAGCAGGATAAGTTTCAGGTGTTACATTACCCAAAGGTATGGTCCCCTATTTCTTTAAAAGTATATAAAGCATTTATTTCCAATTACTGATACATCATTAGATAAAGGTCAAGCATTGGCCTATTTTTCTACACAACAGTCACTCCGGTCGAAGCGCCTCTGTAGGAGTTGTAGCAGTTTTTGCAAACCATGTGGTACAGCTAGTCGCCATTTCACACTTTCCAGCCAAATGCGTTGCTTTAACCCAGTGAACAGCTGGTAGTAGGAAATGCGAAACATTGGAAAAGACTCAGAATCAAATAAGAGCAGGAAACGCTAGCCCACAAGTCACTTGTTGAACACTTGTTCAACAGTTTGGATGGGAAGTCATCATTATGGACTTGACATCAAGTGATTACCACCTGTTCCCTAAGTGCCACAGTGTCTAAAAAAATGCATAGAGACTGAATGGCGATATGTATAGAGCCAGACCAGTGTTGCAGCCTTATAATGATGTATGAATTATTTACTTGAAAAAATAGAAGAACTTACCTTTGGAATTGCATTGGAATATAGTTGAAGAAACATGATATAAGCACATATTACGTACAGTAATGGACAAAAGTATATAGACAAATATGAATATTTACCTAAAGCAAAAGAAGAAAACGAATTCATACTTCACTGCTCCATAAACAAATGCGTTATTAGTAGAAAAACTAAATTCCTTGTTTTTACATTATCTGCAATGAACACAATACAAGTCTGAATATAAGCATTTTTTTATGAGGGAAAAAAATATGTAGACAAATTCTTTTCAACATTAGTTTAGTACAGTTTCGTGTCAGAAGAGGATTAGTTTGTGTTTATCATGTATTGTGGAATAAGTTGAGTGATTTTAAGACCATGCCCCGTGGTCCAGAAATTTCTTTCGATGTGAAAACTAAGATCATTGAGTTATTCAAAGATGGTCAACGTCAAGTCACATTTCCAAAAATTTTAAGCTGAAGCGTAAAGCAGTTTGGGCAATATTGAACAAATATCAACAAAAATGTATCTTGGAAGCCTCTAAGAGAAGTGGTCGGCCTAGAAAACTAAATGCTAGATCAGTTAGATTAATAAAAGTAATTTCGTTCAAAGATCCGTTTAAAACCCCAAGATAAATAAAAGCCGAAATCGAGACAAAAGGAATTGCCGGTATTTCTACGAAAACTTTACGTAGAAGATTAAATGGTTTTATGTTATTTGCACGTCGCCCGAGTAAGAAGCCGCTAATCTCGAGGAAAAACCGTAAGCACCAATTACAATTTGCACGGTTGCATCTTGATTGGAGCATCTGTGACTGGAAGAGGGTATGTTTCAGCGACGAATCCAAGTTCAATATGTTTGGATCAGATGGTGTTCATTACGTTAGACGTCCTAGTGGACAAAGATTGAACCCCAAGTACACTTTGCCCACTGTAAAACATGGAGGCGGGTCTGTTATGGTTTGGGGGTGCTTTTCGGGGTTGGAATGGGACCTTTACATAGAATAGATGGCATTATGGATAAGTTTGAATACACAGACATACTAAAGCATGTCATGTTACCCTATATGGAAGACAATATGCCCTTAGGACCAATTTTCCAGCAAGATAATGACCGGAAGAAGCACACTTCAAATCTCGCAAGGAAATTCTTTCTGGATGAAAAAATACCAGTTCTCAAATGGCCATCACAGTCTCCCGATATAAACCCCATTGAAAATCTATGGGAATACTTAGATAAGCAAATACGAGATAAAAATTATTCAAAGAAGGATGCACTTTTTGCCGCTTTAGTGCAAAAGTGGAGACAGATTGATGAATCTTATATCAAGAAGTGAACTTTGCTTCGTTTTTCTATAATTGTTTTGCTTTGTCTATATATTTTTATCCTTCATAGCTCCAGTTTTTTTCAATTAATTTTTTATTGGAGGGAGTTTAATGAATTTATTTATGTATACGTGAGTATTATGCTATAACGAATTATGTATACAAGTTGGTGTATTGATAAAACAAGTTAAAAAAAATGCAGCACAATATTAATTTGTCTATATACTTTTGTCCATTACTGTATATCCAAAGTAATGCATATTTTCGTTTCGCCATAATGTTCTCAAGAGGCTTGCAAAAGTAAACTCTTATTGAGAGCGCAATCATCGAAAAGGTTCAGATGTTGAAGTTTTCTGATTCTGATTGACGATTATACATTACCATCTAAATTCGCAAAAATCAATTATAGGGATCGATTTCAGGTCGAAGCTGCAACTATTTTTGAAAGAGCTGTCCCAAATACGTACCCTACAAGAAAGCTGATAGTTTGTCACTATCTAGCGTACTTTT